GGCCGTCCTGTGTATTTGACTATATGGACCATAGGTCGTTCTGTATGTATATGAAATGGGCCTAAGGCCGTTTTGTATAATTGTTGAATGGGTCAGAGGTCGTTCCAAATAAGGAAATGATTGGACCTGAGATCGTTTTGAATTAAATGCGGAAATGAATGTGGACATGATCATGGATCATGAGTACGCACAAATGCGAAAATGGATTAGTTGGACCCAAGGTCATTTTGTGTGTAAATTGGATCCAAGGTTGCTTTACATATGATGGACCTAAGGTCGTTTTGCATATGTTGGACCAAAGGTCGATTTGCCTATGAATTGGACCCAAGGTCGTTTTACATGTAATGGATCAAGATTCGTTTTGCAAGTATGAGTTGGACCCGAGGTCGTTTAGTATATGAATATGGATGAGTCATATGATATGTTGGGCCTAAGGTCGTCTTGCGTTGGTATTGACCCACAAGTTTGGGTTATAACCTATGAATTAAACGAATCTCATTCATGAACTCCTTTACTTTGGTATTATTCACTGGGCGTTAGCTCACTCTTTATTTATATGTATGTAGGTGAGCAGCGGGATGTCCAGCCTCAACCCCAGTAAGCCATGAGAAACCGTGTTTTGAGGAGTCAACCAAGGTCGCTTCACCTAAGAGGCTTACTTTTGTTTTTGTTTTCTTTTGGTCATGTATACCAACCTTGTGTATAACCTTGGATTTTGGTGTTGATACTGTTTTGAATGATCTTGGATGTACGTGGTACATACATAATGTAAATATTGCATGGTGTGAGTTATTATATGTATATGAGAAAGTTTTTTTATTAAACTATGTATGCACATGTCGTTGGACAATTTTTACAAGTATTGCTTCCGTAGTTTGGCCCCTTATTTTTAAGTATGCTTTGATTTTTGACTGAAGCTGTAGGTAATCTCATGATTATTGGTCGGTTATAACTCTAATCCATAAGGGCGGGTTGGGGTCATGACACTGGGCTTCAAGTGAGCAACCTTGGGGCAACTCAAGGACGGACTTTAGGCATCCAAAGGGGTGTCTAGAGACTCCTCTTGGGTTTTTGGGCCCTGTGGACGGTGCCATAATGTAAGCACTGTGCGTGTCTCCCGAGGGAGAGGTTTGACATGTTGTCTCCCTTATGCCATGCGTTATGGCATCTTGGAGACTCTTTAGACCAAATGAGCTATCAAAGCACCACCAAAGGTGTGATAACCCGACCCGTAATATACTTAATTATGCATGTGATTATGTGTTTGACATGAATTTGTATGTTTAATGATGTGAGTTATTATGTGATTATGAATTTATATCTGTTGAATGTAGAAAAATCTATTGCAATTGGGCCTTTGAACTAATAATTTATAGCCTTAGAGTCACCAAAAACTAAAACTGAATTTACATCTGTGTTTAGCATGATTTTTACAGCCCGTGGTGAAATTTCGTAAAATTTCGATTCGTAATTAATTAATCGAGTTTAATTAGCATAAGCCTTAGATAAAGCGAACCACATCATGTATAAGATTTTATGTTTAATTGATTAAGGAGATTTGGATTCTAATTGATTGTTACTCTAAGTTAATTTGGGATTTATGAGAATCTTGGAGTCTGATTCGTATTTGATTTTAATAAGGATTTATTTTGAAAATCGAAATTGAAAGCCTAAATGGCTTAAGAGTGTATAATTGGTGAATTGAATTATTCTAATTTCGAGTATCAGACCGCATGGGAGTTTAATTAAATATTTGATTCAGATTTGTAAAATTGAGATTTGATTAATTTGGTCCGAATTGGAGTTAATTAAGTTATGAGAATTGGGGATTAAGGTTATTATGAATTAAATTTATTTATAAGGTATTCAATTAAGGTATTCAATCGAGTATGTAATTTATTGGCGAGGATTTTGAAGTTTAATCTGAAATTGAAGGCCTTAATGATTTAAGAAACTAAAATTGAGGATGGAAATAAATTTAATTTGATATTTGGAGCCTTTTGAAACTTTGATTAAAAATCTAATTCAGATTGATAGATTTGAATGTAATTAATTGGGCTCTAATGGAAGTCAATTAGACTAATTAAATTATGTGAAATTTATGATTCGTTATGATTAATTTAATTATGTGTTAATCAAGATTTATTAAGGATAAGTGTTATTTAATTAAATTAATCTTAAACGTAAATTAAATTGTAGAATGATTTAGAGTTTGAAGATATATGTGGGTGTGTGTGTGATAAATTTGGGTGTGCAAAGAAATTCTGTGTGTGTGTGTGCATGAGTGTGTTGTACTGGAAGCTTCAATAAGTGTGCACGTGTGCATTATGAAGAGAGGAGTGTGTATTTGAGGAGAGATAAAGTAGGCAACTCCATTTTATTACTTGCTAGAAGCATTATTGTGATAGAAGGAGGTTGAAAAAAAAAAAAAAAAAAAAGGAAGGAGATTGAAAAAAAAAAAAAAAAAAAAAAGTGTAGCTTCAAATTTGTTTTGGGCAAACTCATGAGAGCAAACTCATGAGTGAGAGAGAGAGAGAGAGAGTTCAAATCTTAGAACTCATGTGTTGGAAATGGTGAAAAAAGGCTAAAAGCTTGGAAAAAGTGAAGAATTGAAGAAAGACTCAAGAAATTGTGTAGAAACTCATCAAATTGAAAGTTTTGGGTAAGAAATTAAAGCTCAATCTTGTGGATAAATCATCTAGAAGCTGAAATTAAGAGGTAATTAGATTCAATTGCATGCAATGAAAAATAAATAAGCAAGAAAATGAGTTAGGTTCATGATTATGGAAATTAACTTAGAAATTAATTATTTTGGATTTGATTTTGCATATCTTATATGAATTTGAGTCTTATTTTTACATGCATGTAATTTGGAGAAATTAAAGAATTAATTCATGAACATGGTTAAGATTAATCAATATGGAAATAATTGTAATTCTTGAATTGAGCTTGGGTTTGGAAACCTTGATATATATGAGATGTAAATTTACATGCATCATAGATTTCTTGGAATTGATTTCATGTTTTGATGTTAAGAGTGTATAATTGGTGAATTGAATTATTCTAATTTCGAGTATCAGACCGCATGGGAGTTTAATTAAATATTTGATTCAGATTTGTAAAATTGAGATTTGATTAATTTGGTCCGAATTGGAGTTAATTAAGTTATGAGAATTGGGGATTAAGGTTATTATGAATTAAATTTATTTATAAGGTATTCAATTAAGGTATTCAATCGAGTATGTAATTTATTGGCGAGGATTTTGAAGTTTAATCTGAAATTGAAGGCCTTAATGATTTAAGAAACTAAAATTGAGGATGGAAATAAATTTAATTTGATATTTGGAGCCTTTTGAAACTTTTATTAAAAATTTAATTCAGATTGATAGATTTGAATATAATTAATTGGGCTCTAATGGAAGTCAATTAGACTAATTAAATTATGTGAAATTTATGATTCGGTATGATTAATTTAATTATGTGCTAATCAAGATTTATTAAGGATAAGTGTTATTTAATTAAATTAATCTTAAACGTAAATTAAATTGTAGAATGATTTAGAGTTTGAAGATATATGTGGGTGTGTGTGTGATAAATTTGGGTGTGCGAAGAAATTCTGTGCGTGAGTGCATGAGCGTGTTGTACTGGAAGCTTCAATAAGTGTGCACGTGTGCATTGTGAAGAGAGGAGTGTGTATATGAGGAGCGATAAAGTAGGCAACTCCATTTTATTACTTGTTGGAAGCATTATTGTGATGGAAGGAGATTGAAAACAAAAAACAAAAAAAAAAGTGTAGCTTCAAATTTGTTTTGGGCAAACTCATGAGAGAGAGAGAGAGAGTTCAAATCTTAGAACTCATGTACTGGAAATGGTGAAGAAAGGCTAAAAGGTTGGAAAAAGTGAAGAACTGAAGAAAGACTCAAGAAATTGTGTAGAAACTCATCAAATTGAAAGTTTTGGATAAGAAATTAAAGCTCAATCTTGTGGATAAATCATCTAGAAGCTGAAATTAAGAGATAATTAGATTTAATTGCATGCAATGAAAAATAAATAAGCAAGAAAATGAGTTAGGTTCATGATTATGGAAATTAACTTAGAAATTAATTATTTTGGATTTAATTTTGCATATCTTATATGAATTTGAGTCTTATTTTTACATGCATGTAATTTGGAGAAGTTAAAGAATTAATTCATGAACATGGTTAAGATTAATCAATATGGAAATAATTGTAATTCTTCAATTGAGCTTGGGTTTGGAAACTTTGATATATATGAGATGTAAATTTACATGCATCATAGATTTCTTGGAATTTATTTCATGTTTTGATGAAATAAGAACTAAGCTTTGGCAAATTATGAGTTTGTAAACAAATGAGTTTAATTTTTACATTAAAGGAGTTTTTATATAAATGTATTAAAATTGATCATATTTTCTTAATTATTTAAGAGTTTGTATGTTTTTACAAAAGCCATGTATGAACCCAAGTCTTGAAATTGTTTTGAAAGTTCAATTCATGTTTTAGAATTTGTGAGTTTAGAATTGGGCTTGATATGAAAAACATGAATTAAATTTAAATTTTGACAAATATGGAAATAAATTATAATTTGTATTTGAGAATAAAAAATAAGTTTGGTTTTGAATTAAATTTCATACATGCAAATATTTTTGAAAGGGCTTTATAGTTTCAATTTATGTTTCATTAAATAAATAAAGATGATTTTTGAAACATGGAGAATTTGGCACCAAATCACACGTGCATACATAATTTTGTTGAATCTCATGAATTTGGGTGCCATTTCTACCATTTGAGATGAAATTAGAGTCTGTATTTCACATGCATGCACAATCCATGAAAATGTAGAATTTACGTGCATCAGTTATGAAGTTATGGAAATGAATTTGAAATAATTTGGGCTTGTATGATGAATCCTTGGAGATTTGAGCTTCAAATCTTGTAGAATTGGCATTATATCATGTTAGAAGTTGTATGGTTGATATATAGGACGAAACATGTAAGTTGCATCATTTAAAGTTATGTTTTGAAGCACAAACAACATTCTAGAAAACACATAAATCAACTTCATCACTCGAGCGGAGAAGTTGCTGCTCGAGCGTAGAATGCAAGCAACCAGTATTTTTGCAGACCAAGGGATCCGCTCGAGCAACCAATGTTGCGCTTGAGCAAAGAGCCCTGTTTCAAAAAATTTTGAAAAGTTATTTCATGCTTCGATTTCCGTTTATTTCTAAGCACTCTTAAGCATACAATGAGCATTATAAATGAATTAAAATAGTAAGAAAGAAGCCTAATAGAATTAAACAAGTTAAGAACGAAATGAATTGTATTGTGACCCGATTTCTATATGTATTATGAATTGTGTAGGATTAATTACAAGGGCGAACCAGGCATCTGAACACTTTGAGTAATACTTTAGTAAAGATATGTTCATATATGCTATTTCTAAATGCTACTCATGTGTAAGTTTTCTAGATTTGTGAATTCGAATTATGAATGAGCATTCTATTCGTCTGATTGTGCAAGACTCTATAATGAAATTGAAAAGTACGAAAACATTTGATTACATAGACCAAAGGTCGTTCTAAGTTAATATGAAATGGGCCTAAAGGCCATTTTGTACATTTGATTACATGGACCAAAGGTCGTTCTGAATGAATATGAAATAGGCCTAAAGATCGTTCTGTATATTTGACAAAGGATATGTTTGATAAGAAATGGGCCCAAGGTTGTTTAATATGTATGTCAAGGACACGAAATGGGCCTAAGGCCGTCTGAATACGAATGTGATCATAATCACGAATATGAATATGCACGTAGATATGAATATGGAAATGATGGACCTAAGGTCGTTCTGTAATATCATTGGACAAGTATTTTGGACCCAAGGTCGTTATGTATGAATGAGTACTTTGGACCTGAGGTCGTTTTGCCCTTCTGATATGCCTTCAGCATGATGGATTGGACCTGAGGTCATTCTGATTTTGATTTATATGTAATATGTATTAATGTGATTTACTTAATTAAGAATCTCATTCATACAGTCTCTTTACTTTGGTATTATTCACTGGACGTTAGCTCACTCTTAATACATATATGTAGGTGAGCAATTGAAGGATCAATATTAGAGTTTGCCTTGGAATCCACGTTTTTGTCAAGCCACCCAAGAGGTGTCTTTGTGTAGAGGCTTTGTTTTATTTTGTCAAACTTTGGTTAAACTTTGTATTTTGTTGGTAGTCCCTTTATGTAGTGTGTAAGATATAAAATATGTCTTCGTACATGTATATATAAAAGTGTGTTAAGAATGTTTTAATTACTACAGTTGATCATGTACGCATAGCTCATTATTATTTTTGTTTTGCTTCCATTTCAGCCTCGATGTTTTTTTTAAGATTTTGAAATTTTGTCTTTGAGGCCATGGGTAATCTATGAATTACTAGTTAGTTACGACGTTAAACCTATAGGGACGGGTTTGGGTCTTGACAAAAGGCCTCGTGTGCCAACTCAAGTGCTTGGTTTGGGTTTAACCTTGCACGAGAGGATCCAGTGGCTTAAGCTAAGCGGTTAGAAGGCAACACCGCATATGTGGGCCATTGAATGAAGGCATCAAGCTATGCATTGACTAAGTCCATTAAGGAACTACTTTATGCTACAAGCGAGCTACGAATTGAGACATTGCCTTATTCATGCTAGACGTTGGTGCAACGCTAAGGTGCGCAATGGCCATAGGCGGAATCTAACACATGTGTTGGCACGAGGACTACACCGTAGGCAAGAGATTGATCATCGGTGGCTTGTGGCTTTGCATGACCAAGTGGCCATCCAATATGCATCTATTGAGGCATGCTTGACCCTATGGAACTTCGAGATGCTAACAAAGACCCAACATGCAATGTGGCCTGTCGGCCAAGTCGAGGTCCTTCGCTAGCACATTGTGGTGTGGCTAGGCACCTTGATGACATAAACCTAAGTTGGGTGAGCACCTTGCTTAAAGTAAGATTGGCGCTATGAAGCAACTTATGCCGTGCTTAGTACACTTGAGGCATTAGGCCTACTTGTGGCACCCAGATGAAGACGGAGCTTCGTTGTGAAGTTGTTTTGCTTGAAAAAGCATTGGGCCCTAATGTTCAAACGGGTGAGATCATCAACACTCGATTTGTCAACAAGTTATGGCAGGCTTAAACTTGGAGGAGTTTGAGCACCACACGGGGCAAAAAAATTGATCCGCTGCACCTCTAAAGGAGTCGGCCCATGACAACGGGCCAAGGCTCAGGCCGCACCTAGTCCTGAACATTTTTTTTAATTATTTACCTAAATTTTATTGTTTTTCACTAAAAATGAAACTAGGTCTTGGGTGGGTCGGGCCTCGGGGCTGGACTTTGAGTGGGCCTTGAGTAAGCTGATGGGTCGAGCCCACGGGTCGGGTCAAACTTCAAAATGACAGCCCAGACCGAGACCCAACATCTCGAGTTGGGCTCGGGCTTGGGCCGCAGGTCATTTTTACACCTATATAGAGGTCCAATAGTATAAAAAAGAGTTAAAAAATATATAAATCCGATTACAGAATAATATACAAAATATATAGGGTAAATTATAAATACATCCCTTGCGATTTGCTTAAAGTACAGATTGTCCTCTGTGATTTGAAAAATTACAAATACCACATTGTCAGAATTTTTTATTTAACAGAATTAACTAAAAAAATGAAATTCATAATTACTTTCTTATATAATAATAAAATTACCTAAATTATTAATTGAAACATATTTCTAACAATATTAAAAATTGTTAATTGTTTATTGATTTATTAATAAAATATGCGATTTGTTATGAAATTAGAAATCTCAGAGGTGAAATGTAATTTTTAAAACTACAGGAAGTGATTCATATTTTAATCAAATCTCAAAAGGTATATTTATAATTTATACAAATATTATATGAAAGGATAAAAATTCTGTGTTTGACACAATCTTTTAGCCCAAGCTGACTAGGGACTACTTATATAAATAAAATAATAATATTATAAAAAGAAACATTAAGTCATATGTGGTGTACCAGACGTTACTTGACGGGGTATATGTTGGGTTTATTGATTCAACGGCCTACACTTGCCTAATGTGATACACTGATAAGGACTTGCCTAATATGATACACTTGCCTATTTATTTGATTTTATCAGGATGACAAATTAAATGAGTAAATTATCTTTCTAATACATCATTGAATTTAAAAAATAAATTTGTATATCATTTTTTCACGTTAAATTGGTTCAAATGAACACTTGAGGGAAAGATTGATTTTCTTTTGTGCTTAAGAATTAGAAAAATAAATAAATAAATAAATAAACTGCTTGCTTGGCTTTCAGGAAAACTTGCCGTGCATGTAAATGACTAGGTTGAGAGAGAGAGAGAGAGAGAGAGAGGAAACTTACAAATCACACGGGTATCTTCCTACCAGACTAGATAAAAAGGTTAGGTCAAACATTACCAACCAACATCTCCATTTTTAAAACAATACAAAAAATCACAAAGCTCCTGATTTTCATGATTCAAACATAACTTTAAAAAGAATGAACGAATGATGTACAGAAGCAAAGCAACACTATAAAATAGAAGATAAAATATGTATCACAAAGAGCTAATTGATCTGTTAGTACTACCAACATATTTTGAGTATGCCAGTTTCTAAACACAAGTGAGTCTGAAACCATGTCCTTAACAAGAATAGAGTTTCCATGAAGAACAGAAAGAAGACTATTTCGAGAAAATTAAAGATACAAAAAACCCAAGAAGTCTAAAATGAAGAAAAACAAAGACAACTCAAGATAAGAGAAGAACCATGATCATTATCATAAGCAGTAATAACATTAACTTGCTCACCTTTTTGTGATTCGAAGAAAGAAGCGTATTTCACCCAAGTCAGAGATGTTGCGAAGATCGAATCATAAACAAATGTGATCGTCATAACATTATCGATTCATCAAGCGAGCTGAGTTTTCCACCCAGTTATCAACTGGTAACTGACAATTATTAGCCATAGGCAAATTCAAGAAAGGAAGACCACAAGATGGGTCAAGAAATCCACCACCGCCGCCACCGCTGGAAACCTCTGACACCGGCGGCTGAATCCGAACCGCCGCCTCCTCCTCGTCCTCCTCATCCAACGGCAGTCTCTCATAGGCAACATTACTAAACGACGCCGCAATCACAACCACGGGCCCCGCCGCCACGAGCTCTCCCACCACGCTCCCTCCCACCACCTGTCCCTGCCCTCCCCCCAAAAACACCGTTAAGCTCGTCGCTCCCGGCGGAGCCGGCGGTGGCAAGAACGACCCCGTCAACGACAGAATCTCAAACGTCCCATGTAACCTTACCACCGGACCACCACCCGCCGCCATGGCTGGCTGCCGGAGACTCACGTTCGTGACGGTCCCACTCCCGCCCAAAACACAGATCCCAAGGTGCCGGCGGCGGGCATAGATGGCTACGGAGTCAAACACGTCGCAGCCATTGCTGACCTCGAGAATATGAGCTCGGAGCGTGTTCGCGCGCTCTCGGCTTATAATTACCGGTGGTTTGGGCTTGTTTTTGGAACCGGGTGGTCGGCCTCTTGGGCGACGAGTGACCATATCATCGGAGCGGTGGCTGCCGCCGTTGTCATCGTTGTGTTCTTCGTTTTCAGGATTTGTTTCGAAGGGGTGGAATTGGTGATGGGTATAATGAGAAGCATTTGCTAAATCTAAACTAGCCATGGTTACTACAACAACATAAAAAGAAATTGGAAACAAGAAAGAAAAAGTAATAAAAAAATAGTGTCAGAAAGATTTAAAGCTGCTTTTGCTTTGATTATTTTATCGAGTAAGATATATATAAAATAAAATAAAATAAAATGTTAAAAATAGAAGGAAAAAAAAGAGAGCTATGGCATTTGAACACTAGGTTTTGAATAGAGATTGGATTAGAAAACTCGAGTGGGTTTGAGGATTTGATTGAAGAGAAAGCGGGGGGAAAAAGGAGGAGGAGGATTGGGGGTGAGACAAGAGAGACTCAAAATGCAGTCATTTCGCTCACCGTACATGTTTATATGTTTAAATATAAGAATAAAAAATTATATATATTTTTAAATATTTATTTATTTATTTATGAGATGAAAAGATTGTTGAAAAAGGAGGTTAACCCAACCCATGGGAAGGGACCTACCACCAAAGCACCAGTGGAGCTCATCAACTGCCTCAGCCTTGACCAAGTGCGATCGGAGCACAGCGTGAGGTCTTATGACCAAGTGCGATCGGAGCACAGCGTGAGGTCTTAGGAAAGTACCCTTAGAAAATTTAGAATTTTCGCGTCCCCCAAGAGTTGAACTTGACCCAAGACTGTGGGAAGGCAATGCCTTCGCCACTGGGCCACCAACGTGTTTTCAAACTGCATGAAAGTGTAACATGTGTATAGTTTAATTTTAACTATATCAGGTATATAAATATAAATTATGTGAATTTTTTATATTTTCTAAACTAATTTAGATTCGACCCTTAATTACAAAAAATTAGACAGAGATCACAGAGTCGACCCCAAAGCTTTAGGAGTCCACTCTTAATTCTAAAGAGTTTGGCTGTGAGCAATGAATCGGCCTTTGATGGTAGAGTTAACCCTATTTATGATGCAAATGTTGCATGTGCCCCGTGCAAATGTTATTTTGGCGCTGTGCAAGTACTATTTTGTAAGGTTGTGCATATTTATCACTTAAATTTTGCCCATATTGTACTTGTTTCAAATACAAAATTAAGATTTTAGAGATAAATTTGTAGGGATAAAAATAATTTTTCTGCAAAAATTATACTTTTAAGGACAAAATGAAGGAATTTAAATATATATATATATATATATTTAATCATGTTATTATATTTTTTAGATAAGTTTATTTGATTGTAAAAGGATCAATCACTTTTACCTATAATTTTACTTGGTCCCTAATAAACCTAAAGCACACATTATTTTATTTTATATATTGATTTTTGAACTCAATAGTCGGGACTATCTTTAAAAAACATAATAACAAAGCGTCAAGGTTCTATATTTCATCACTCTCTCTCTCTCTCAAATTCCTAATTTCTTTTTCTTTCGCAAATGTAATGGTCCTTCTCTACGGATCTCGTTGATTGCTTCTGATCTCGACAACAATTTCATCCCCGATGAGTCTTATAGCATCTCTCTCCACTATGATTTCAGCATCCAGATTCGATCGATTAATCGATTTTAGTTTCATAGATTTGGTTTTTGATCTATTTTTCGTATTTATTCTTCGAAAATGCTTATTTATTAGTGTAATGTTTGTGTTGATGATGTATTATGATTCATTTTTAATTCGTATTTGTGAGTGTTAGATTCGTTTAGAGTATTATCATAAGGTAGAACAAGCGCGGTGAGAGAGAGCTTGAGAAGTTTGATTTGGACATACCTACTCTGTGATATTAGTCATTGAGTTTCATGGCCAATCAATAGAAATATATGAATATTAATGCAGAAGAAAGACAAGAAAAAATCAACATGCTTTAAAATTCATAATTGGGCAAAAATCTCAGTGAATATTATTTCTTGTGTATGTATATAATAAGAATGTGTTTGTTTATGATATGAGACTTTGAAGAATCGAAAACAGTTTCGTTTTGATAACTAACAGTGAAAGTGCTTTTTGTTTTAAGCGCTTTAAAGGTTATTAGTCGAAAGTTATTGTTATATAATTATATGTAACGCTTTAATGGAAGATTTTGTGTTCTTGTTTAAAAGCTCTCTATTTTCTACTCTATTAATTGTACTAAGCTCGTTTCCATGCATCTCTCTCTCTCTCTCTCATGTTTATTGGTTCATAGTTGAATCATGGGTTATTCATGTTTAGTTTAATTGGAGCTTAAAAATTAGGAAAAAGTTAGGGATCATGAAAATTTTGTCATGAAAATGATCATGAAAAATTTATGATCCTTGGATTACCTTGATTAGTGTGTGGTGTTTTATTCTAAGTGTAATCGAAGAGTCACAAAACTTTCATGATTATTTTCATGAAATGTTTTTCATGATACCTAGCATTGCTGTAAAAATTAATTTATTAGCTTAAAATTTCAGTAATGTTACAATGATCATTTAGTTTTTTCTTGGTATTTTATCATTTGATGTGTTAATTCAGTTTTGATCAAAAGAATCAATTATATAGTTGATATGGTTGTGTTGATTAATATAGAGTTTTATTTTGCTGTTGATAATTTAAAAAGATTTACCATTGTGAGGAAAAAGAAATTAAAATTGCAAAACTCATTTCTTGATACATTTCGTTTATATTTGAGGGTAGTACTACATGGTTTAGGTGTTTGTGTAAGGAAGTAGGAAGTAGCTTTTTGAGTTGTCCTTTGTATTCAGAAATTCGTGTATGAAGAATTCGTAGAATCCTTATACTGATGCTTAATCTGATGTTTCTTTTGCTTTGATGATATGGTCTGATCTAATCCTAATTTGTTTGTGTGTGAGTGATTTTCCAATCACACTGCCCAACTTAGTAATCAGTTGGAGAGTACTGGCAGAATAGATGACACCTGGCTGACCTGCAACAGAAAGAGAAGATTCCGGTGGTGGTTCGTCCACCCGGGGGTACTCCGACGATCAAGTCAATATATCTCTCAAAGATAATCAATAGTGCTAAACTCACTGTTCAGAATATAAATTGCGTACCTTAGGCCCACGGGGGTGCCTCTCTTTTATAATTAACTCAATCATTGTCCCACTAGAAGCCTAGCTTCAATGGACTCTTGTTCAGTGCTTATCCTCGACTCTCTAAGAAATAAAGATAAACTCCCTAAGGGTGTGTTTGATTGGACGGACTGGAAAATGGGGGATTAGAATCCATCGGACTTGAGTCCTGGGACTTTGAATCCCCCGGACTATTTGGTCGGATTGGATATGTATCCTGTGTTTGTTTTTTCATGGGATTAGATGTCTGGATAGGACTATTTTCAGTGAACCAAACGTTTGGTTGGACGGACTGGATAGGATAAATGAACAAAAGACTATTTTACCATTTTTCAATTGTTTACTATGTAATAGCAATATTAAACATATCTTTAATATTTTAATTATTTTTAGTAAACATTAAACATACTAATGGTTAAATTTTGTTTAAAGATATTTAAACATACTAATATTGATAAAAAAATTTGACTGGTATAGATTATTTTTATTTAAACAAATAAAAATTTATTGTTGAAATTAAACATACTAATGGTTAAATGTTTAAATTTTTATTTAAACAATTAACATTGAAATTATTTTGATGTACAAATTATGTTTAAACAATTAACAATTAACAATTAAATAAATGTTGATGTATAGATTATGTTTAAACAATTAACAAATGTTGATGTAATTAACAATTAACAAATGTAAATGTAATCAAATGTTGACGTATTAAAACATAATTTAATAGATGTTAAATAAATATACATGTTGATGTACAGATGTTGAAATAATTTAATAAACATGTTGATGTACAAATGTTTAAATGTTTAAATAAAACATAATTTAAATAAATGAAATTATTTATTGTTGAAATTAAACATTTAATTGTTTAAATAAAACATCTATTAAAACATCTATTAAATTTAAACAATGAAATTAAATAAAACATAAACAAAATTTTAAAATAAAACATCAATAAAATATCTATAAAAAATTATTTTAAAAAATTAAATAAACAAAACATCAATAAAAAGTTAAATAAAATTATTTTATTTTTAAATTGAGACATTTAAATTTTATTGAATTTTATTAAATATAATACATAATTAAATAGTAGAGGGTCAAAATGGTCATTTTCGCATATAATCCAAACAGTGATTAGTCCCCCACTTTCTGTCCCACCCCCCCCCCCAGGACAGGATAGTCCCCCATATGGGGGACATGGAGTCCGGCCGGACATGGAGTCCGCCGGACTAAAAAAAAATCAAACGACGGATAAGGTGCACTATTTGGATTACAATCCAAATAGTGGATAGTCCCCCTCCTAATCCCCCCAATGAAACACACCCTAAGAGTGTTATCCTTATCCATGCTATAGTCTCTCCTTATTCTAGGACTCTTGTGCCTTATCCGCTTATCTCGGATTTCGATATTTTCGGAGATAACCTCGGCCTTACCGAGATCACCTCGGCGTCATGTCCTGGCCACGTGGCACCTCGGCTGACACGTCGGCGTCACCTTGGCCACGTGTTGGGACTCATAAAATATATCCCCACAACTGCCCCCTAGGTTCTATTACCTGGGCATCCTGAGATGATGGAACCGAATCGATACTTCCTGTCAGTACATCGGCGTAAGCCGAGATCATCATCATAGGCCGATATGTCTTCTTAAAGATTAAGAATCCCAAGGGCTTCTTCATGCGTATGAGCTGTCATACATCACAATTCAACCATTTTAGTCACGTGCCTTCTTCTTACTGGATCGTGCTTATGACACGCTTCTAAATCGTCTCGCGAATTTGTTCGCCGTCTGACGCTCACATTGTTTTAGGCGCATTAATTACCCCGTTTGCTGTCGTTTCAAGTTTTGACAAAGCTTGTTTCTTTTCTCTCTGTCTCTTCACTCTTTACTCTTTACTTTTGCATTCGAATCTTTTCTCTTTCAAACTTTTTCCTTCAAGATCCTCCATTGCTTAAGCTTCCAAAGCTCTGCAACTCATTCCGTCCAGTTCCTCCGGCGAAGTTCTTGCCAATCTGTTCCGCAGCTGCCGTTCTTCTGACTTCGGCGATCTCAACATTGGCTTTTTCCCTCTAGTAAGTCATCGTTCCTTCTGGTTTCAGTTCTTGTTGTACTCTAAGAAATTATGTTTCATCATTAGTCGCCATTGTCGTTTTACCCAAATATTTGATTCGTGAATCATGTATCTAAGCATGTTTATTTCATAATTTTGCTCTTTGCCCATGTCTTGAACACTTGCACTGTTCACATACCTGTTGATTTCTGCCACTGTTTTTGGCCTTATACCCTTTCACACACTCTGTCACAGTGTTCTTGGTAGTTCACCATTGTTCTTGATTCTGAAACACATTCTTGTTTTCTGTTTTCTGTGTCTTTTCTAGATTTCTGCCTCCAACCTTGCTTCCATAGAGTTAGGTTTTGGGATTTGCTTATAGAACCCACAAGTTTTTAGGAAAAACTAAAACGAACTCCTTCTAGATCTGTACAAACCCTTACCGTAGTACATTTTTAGGTTTTTAGCCGAGGTCCTTTAAATCCTCAAAAAATACTTCTTTCTGAAATCTGATACCTCCATTTAAGCCAACGCCATAGGTATGTGGAAGCATAGGGTAAACACCCCGACAAAATTAGAATACTTTAGGCGAGAGTTTTCCATCCCTGCCAACGTCCATCTGAGGTTGGCTGGGGATGATGACTCCCTCATGCCTATAACTGATTCCATGCCCTTTCCTGTGGTTGCCTTTATTGAGTGCGGACTTCGGCTTCCACTCAATATCCTTTTTCGTGAAATACTTCACTACTATAAACTGAACCCAATGCAGCTTGCCATCAATTCTTATCAAGTCATTAATAGCATCATAGCCTTAGCCAAACAATAAAATGTTAGGGTTACCTTAGCCGATATCCAGTATTGCTACACCATGTGTGGCCTTAAAAAAGACACGGGCTATGTCTACTACCTCAAGCCGAGATCCATCGAATACAAAATCGTAGCCGACCTCCCAGACTCCAACAAGGGAGCTGGAGATGATTACTTTATTACCTCGGGGAATTGGGAGTTCGCTCCAGATGATGACCTTCATCTCTTTCCTCTTCCTCGAACAATTTTCGTAGAGGGCAATGGTAAGAGCCATGTGTTCATACTTACTTGTTTTTAAAGCTTTCAACATTTTATTTGCTCTAATGTTTGTTTTTTCTTGCAGCTCTTCCTCAACCACCAAAGGGCTTCCGTCTGTCTTTCTATCCCAGTAAAGACTTGAGGAAACTCTTGGATCTGCCAGTCCTCAAACGGAGAGCTCATCTGGTACTTAATTTCATTCCCACTTAGAAATTAGTACTCTCCGACATTCCAAAAAGGAAGAAAAAGAGTCTTCCTCCACCATCTGCCACGACTCCACAAGCCGCGTCCACATCTCGGACTGATCAGGGATCAACCTCTGATCCGGCCGAGCAACCGTCAACCTCGGCTCCATACCTGATCCCGATATCCCAACGACGTCGAATAGTTTTTTCCACCGAGATGGGCCGTCAAAGAGCTGTTGCCAAAGATCTTCTGGCCAGTATCCCATCAACCGTTGATGCTCAGCCAACGCAAACCCAGCCTCCACCAAAACAAAAACGAATCAAAAAGGCTCAACCAAAGGCCAAGGTAACTTAGGTTGACACTGAGGACATCTTGCCGAATTCTAAATTACATGAGAGCAACAAGTCTCAGTCTGCTGTTGGGAAGAGACGTTCTGAGGCCCAACCATCCGAGTCTCCAAGATCAAAGAAGCCGAGGTCATCCTCTGCAACAACCTCGGGGTCCAAAAGACACGATGCCCCCTGGGCCCCTAGAATCACTCTAGAAGATAAGCCAGTTATGGCCAACGATAGCGCTGATGACATCAACGTCGGCGTAGCCCTCAGTACTGCTCTGCTTCTCCCGGCGATCTTGACTGAAACGCCGAGTTGAGCGAGTATGAAAATTACGCTCTGATGCTTCAACGCTCCGTTCAAGTAAGTGTCTTTATCTAGCAACTTCTTCTTTTGTTTTGTTCTTTCCATACTTATAATTTTTTCTAACAACTTCTGTTCTGTTTATTTTCAGGCCATTCAGCACGCCCATTCTTTCTCAGTTCAATCTTTTGAGAACTGGGAGAGGCTGGCCGAGATGAAGAGGGAGGTCTCCAGTCTTCAAAAGGCCAATAAAAGTTTACAATCAAAAATGAAAAAACTGGAAGACCAGGCCGAGGCTGCCATTAAGGCTCAAACTGACGCCGAAGAAAAAACGGACTCTGCTGAGGCTATCAAAAAGGTACTTGAGGTCGAGAAGAAGGATGCCGAGGAGAAAATAGCCCAGGCCCAAAAGGAACTGCAAGACGCTCTGGCCACCAAAGAGGCTGAAGTCAAGGCAGCCGATGAAAAGGGCTACAATGAAGAGGTGACCGATGTCACGGCGGATTACGAAAAGCAAGTGAAGCAGGCATGCAACAAGGGTTTCACCCTTGGCTGGATGACCTTGTTGAAAAGGCTTGATGTCCCTAAGTACTCCCCCTTAGGAATGTCGACGTCCTTCCTCTACCATTCCCCCCAACTCCAAGCCAACCCGCCGACGACGACTCTGAGTCCGAGGAGGAGGTTTTGGTGAGGAAGCCCAAGGAAGCTGCTGGGGCCAAGTCACCTACTCAAAATGAGCAAGTCCTGGACTTGACTCAAGATGAGGAGGTTGAGGAGGTCCCCAAGGAAGCTACCCCTGAGGAGGCTTCATTGGACGTGCCTCTCACCGAAAAGAGCCTTGATCAGGCCCTTCAGGAGATTGATGCTGAGCTTACGGCCGAGAAGGTGGCCGAGATGTCCTCCCAGTAGTCTTCCGAGATCCAGACCCAGCCTGCTGATGGTGCTGAGAAATCCTAGTCTTGATGTTTTTACTTTTCCTTTCTTGTACTTTGTTTCTCTTTTCAAAGTAATGTAAACTCTTTAAATTGCCGATGTGTTTTTTTATGAATACAACTTCTTTCTTGAATGCTTGCATTGTTTGTCTTCCCTTTATTGCTTTTTGTATGTCCTTCATACTTAGAATAATTTGCATATCTTTAATACATACTTTTATCTTGTGTAACCTTCTCGGGATAACATACCTCGGTTATGACTATTTACTTCAGCAAGTATCCAAGTAGCTTTCTTAGCATGACCTCGGTTTCAACTTGAAAATTTTTCTCAAATTTCAACAAGTGTGTAACATCTTCTCGGTTTAACTTTAATCTTTAACTTGTAAACTTTTTGAGTTTCAACAAGTGTTAAACATCATTTCGGTTTTAACTTGTAAACTTTTCTCAAGGTTCAACAAGTGTAAAACATCATTTCGGTTTTGACTTGTGAACTTTTCTCAAGTTTCAACAAATGTGAAACATCATTTTCGGTTTTAACTTGTAAACTTTTCTCGAGTTTCAACAAGTGTAAAACATCATATCGGTTTAACTTCAACTTGTAAACTTTTCTCAAGTTTCAACAAGTGTTAAACATCATATCGGTTTAACTTCAACTTGTAAACTTTTCTCAAGTTTCAATAAGTGTTAAACATCATATCGGTTTAACTTCAACTTGTAAACTTTTCTCAAGTTTCAACAAGTTTTAAACATCATTTCTTCTCTCTGCCCCCTAATGTGAACCTAAGTTCCACTTGGGGTCTCATTATGCATATATTCCGAAACAACGTTATGCATCTTCATCAGTCACAAATATAGAAGAATTCTACTAAAATTTTATTCATGACATCGGCAAATAACAAGGAAAATCTAATGGTAGAAAAACTTTAGATTACAAGTATTCCAAGGTCTTGGCAACTCTTTGTCCTCACTATCTTCAAGCCGATATGCACCGTTGCCCAATATCGAAGTGATTCTGTAAGGTCCTTCCCAATTTGGGCCAAGCTTGCCCTCCCTGGGATCCTTCTTGTTACCGACAACTTTTCTCAAGACTAGGTCGCCGACTTGGAACTCCCTTAGGTTGACTCTCTTATTATAAGCTCTTGCAAGCTGCTGTTGGTAGGCTGCGAGCTGAATTACAGCTTTCTTTCTCCTTTCTTCTAGTAGATCCAGATCTTGGGCTAAGAGTATATCATTAGTCCCACTTTCTACTCCCTGGGTTCTGATCCCAGGGTTGCCGACTTCAAGGGGAATGATAGCTTCTGTGCCATAGGTCATGGCAAAGGGGGATTCCCCCGTTGATCTTCTCGGCGTAGTCCGATATGTCCAGAACACGTTTGGTAGTTCATCCACGCACTTTCCTTTTGCTACCTGCAGCCTCTTCTTTATCTCATCTAGGATTACTTTGTTGGATGCTTCTACTTGACCATTGCTTTAAGGAAAGCTTGGGGTTGAAAAGTAGTTCTTGATCTTGAACTTTGCATAGAAGTTCTTGATTAGCTTGTTGTCAAATTGTGTTCCATTGTCAGTAATTATTGCTCTCGGAATCCCAAATCTTGTGATGATGTTTTTCCACAAGAAGTTCTTCACGTCTATATCTTGGATCTTGGCTAAGGGCTCAGCTTCTATCCACTTGGTGAAGTAATCTGTTGCTACCAGCAGATACTTTCTTTGTCCAGTTACTTGGGGCAGTTGCCCAACGAGATCCATGCCCCATTGGGCAAATGGCCAAGGACTGGATACTGGGTTAAGGTCTGCTGCTGGTTGGTGTATCAATGGTGCAAACCTTTGGCATTTTTCACATTTCTTTACATAGGCTTCTGCATTTTTCTGCATGTAGGGCCACCAATACCCCTGGGTAATAGCCCTATGGGTAAGTGATCTACCCCCAGTATGGCTTCCACAGATTTCTTCATGTATTTCATACAAAAAATCTTCAACTTGTGACGGGTGTACACACCTTAAAAGGGGTCCAGTGAAAGATCTTCTATAGAGATGTCCTTCTGCTATCAGACTGAATCTCGTTGACTTCAATCTAATCTTGTGTGCCTCCTTGTGGTCGTCTGGCAGCTTTTCCTTCTTTTAGGAATGCAACAATTGCATCCATCCAGCTTAGTCCCATGTCCACACACATTGCTTCGTGCTCTGGGGTCAGTGGTTCGATGCTCGGGCCTGGCAAGTATTCGACCATTATTGTCCTTTTTTTTTCAGGTTGTATTGCACTGGCTAGATTGGCTAGTGCGTCCGCGTGACTGTTATCATCTCGGCTAACCTGATGTAGTCGGCAATTATGAAACAAAGCTACTAACCTGTTGACTTCCTTTGCGTAGGCTGACATCCTTTCATCTCAGGTTGCAAATTCGCCCGTTGTCTGGTTGACTATGAACTGGGAGTCACAGAAGACTACCACTTCATCTGTTTCTGCTGCTATCGCCAGCTTTAGTCCTGCAATCAATGCTTTATATTCTGCTTCATTGTTTGAGGCCTTGAACCCCAATCGAATGGACTGTTCCAATACGTCTCCATCTGGAGATACCAATACTACTCCTGCCCCCGCTCCTTGCTGGTTTGAGCTCCCATCGACAAACAGTCGAAAGGAGTTGCCGATGTAAATGCTGCAGAGTCTGAGTTTTTCCTTTTTCCTTTGTTCTGTTGCATTTGGCTGGGCTTTTCCTTGCTTGCTTGGACATCGTTCATCTCAGCTCAACGGAGCCCGATGTGCGATGGATTCTGGTGAGAACTCGGCCACGAAGTCGCCCAAAACTTGGCCTTTGATTGCTTTTCTGGGTCTGTACTCCAAGTCATACTGTCCCAAGGCCACTGCCCATCTGGCTATTAATCCTGTCAAGTCTCCTTGTTGTAGCAAAGACTTCAAGAGGTGTTCAGTTAGTACCACAATTTTATGGGCCTGGAAGTAATGGTTCAGCTTCTTTGAAGCCATTACTAAAGCCAGTGCCAATTTCTCTAAGGGTAGGTACCTTGTTTCTGCATCGACCAGGGTTTTGCTTACATAGTAAACAGCCCTTTGCTCCCCTTCTTCTTCTCGGATTATTACCGTGCTTACTGTGTGTTCTGAAACTGCTAAGTATAGGAACAGCTCCTCCCCAGGTTCTGGATTTGAAAGAACTGGAGCTGTGGTCAAATACTTCTTCAGGTCGGCCAGGGCGGCCTCGCATTC